CCAGCTTTACAAATACAGAGCAACTGGATCTCTTTCTTCAGCTATGGCTGGGAAAATCCCAGGGAAAACTCTGATTGATTTCATTCATGTGTCCATACCTAGAAAAATCACTGTTTTGAGTGAGGTAAGATCATATAAGAACAAGAAAGTTCTGAACCATAATCACATGGTTGAAGCGAAAGGCCAAGTGATAGTTGTCCAATACAGGTGGATCTAGAATTTGGAAAGTTCTGCTATTCTATCTCTTCTCCAGAATAGGTTATTTATTCAAAACTATGTATTCATTCATCAAACATTCATTTAGTTAGAGGAGATGCTGCTCCATGGGAAAGCTCAATAGATTAATTGGCAATAAATCTTTATTGTTCTTTCTTTCTAGAGGGTGACAGAAAGAGGCATTTTCACTGAAAAAAAAAAAAAGCTTCCAGGCCCAACTGATGATACCTTTCTCTTAACTCTGTTCTCCAGAAATGACCTAAAATTTACATTCATGAGTTGTTTTCTCCCCCAGGGGGATTTAATAGGGATCAAAGTCTTAATCTCTCTCTCCCCTCCCTGTTCACCTACTCCTCAGAGATCTGCCTTGGTGGTTCAGTGAGGTAGTATGTCAATTTCAGGGCCCCTAGTAGGAAACAGATGACATAACTCAAAGGAGTAATTGAAGAAAGCTTAGTAAAGGAACTACTGAGAAAATTGAGGCATGAGGCAGGGTAAGGAATCAACAAATAATGAAGATTTCTTAAGGTTTAGCAACAGTGAAACACTGTTCTTCCCTCATTCTCTAACAAGATTAGGTGCAAGTGGTAGATGGAGGATATGAACGGTGACCTTAAGTAGTGGAGGACAGCCACTGCAAAATTGCTGTCCTTGTGAAGGAAGCCAAGGCATCTCCTCAAGATCTTTGAGCTAGTTCTCCATGTGGCCAAAGCCCAGGAAGAGCAGATGATACCATCCATAGAGGTCAGCCTCCTAGGGAATAGAACAGGATGACCGTGGGCAGAGAATGATCTGGACAATTCACTGGAGAACGACCAGTACAAATGATAAGTTTCTATGGGGTGGGTGCAAAAATATCAGAATAGGGTATGTGTGAATAGTTTTCAAAAAACCCACCTGGAGATTCTGGAAAAATGTAGTCTCCTTCTCCTCCCTCAAAAGATCAAGTAACACTGATCAAAATAAATGAAATTGCAGAAAGAGAATGTCATATAAGCTAGCTGGTTAGGAAGATCATTCATGTATTTGTTCATTGTTCATTAATCGTCAAAGATTTATTTGTACCTCTAGGTATCCAGCATACAAAGTTGGATTATATATTTCTTCATGCTTGAAAATTTTTTTAATAAAATGTTGGAATAAATAGATTGTACAGGGTCACTGCCTTTCTGGACCAGCAAGGTATCCTGGAGGAACGGACAGCTAAATTCACTCTGAGTCAGCCAGTTTGGAAAGAGTAGGGAAGGATGTTCCAGGAGGGATGTTGTGTAGGTGTGGGAGAGTGGTGGGAGATTGAGGTGGTAGAGGTAGAAATCTACTTCAAAGTTAAGGACTACACTGTCAGGTCTGCGTTTTAGAAAAATCCCTTAATCATCAGGGCAAAAGATGGATTGGTGGAATAAACAAAATGTTAAAGAATTGATGTGGAGGCCAATATGAGCAATGGTCATGCACAAAACTAGGATCTGAGCAAAGGCAAGAGGCCCGAAGATGAAAAGGGACAGATTTAAGAGATAATCTTGGGAAAATTAACAAGACTCAGAAAATGAATGGCTGTGGTGTGAGACAGAGGGAAGATGCTGCTTTGCCTTCTCATCACCTGCCTACTTTTTTAGCTAACAGCTTTTCAGTTTTCCTTTGAGAACACTGCTCCTACCTGCCTGACTGAGTGGAGTTTCCATAGAACTGTCATCTGTAGGTTCTTATCTTCTCTGGCCAACAAGTTCATCTCATGACCTAGGCCAGGCCAGTCAGTCTTTTCCTCCTGGGAATTTTGAAATCTTGGACTTGGCACCTAGGTCTATCATGGTTCTTGTCTTTGTTGAAGCCTCTTTGTTCAGTTTTTCCCCTTAATTTTGTGTGCTACCCAAAGGCCTTCTTAAAAAGTCATTTTTAAAACTTTAGTTAGTTATTTTCTATTGCTACAACCAGAAAACCTCAGCTGATTATGGTGGCCATGTAAATAGTTTTGCCTTTCACTAAGAGACAGAAAACAGGAGGAGGAGAGAGTGTGAGGTTGGGTTTTTTGGGAAGAGGGGTGGGCAGTTTGCTTTTGAGAAGACCATGGACAAGCAAAGCAAAAAAATCCAAAAGTTGGCCCCAGGAGGCTTATGTGAAACTAAAAATCACACTACAGAATGTAAGGGCCATCTAGATATAAAGGTCCTACTCTACTGCCTAGCCTCCTAAGCACTCACCCCGACTTCTCTGGGGAGAGTAAGTCTTTCACTGGGGAGGCTGACACATTGTACAGATGCCTCACAATCAGTAGGGGAAAGTGGGCAGAGCCCCATTCTAGGCACTGGAACTCCTTGGTCCTGGCTCTGCCTCTCTCACTAATAAGCTAAGGTGGACTTGTACCAGTGCCCTCTCCTTTCTAGGACTCAGTTTCCATGTTATTAAATTCAGGGCTGAATTTTATTGGGAAAAACTCCAAAAGAATTTTTAAGTTTATATGTAAAAGAGTCAGCTATACTGGGCAACTGAGTTCAACAAATTGTAAACTGGTTTCCTTACTTCAGGACTTCTCAGTGTCTTAAATACACTCATCGTAAATGCAAATCTTTAAGAGAGGTGAAATTGAGCAGCATTTCTCACTAGGTTTTTGCTCAAGAAAATTCCCTATCCCTTTTAGAACACATGTAGAACTAGTAATTGTCAGAATGCACTTGCAGAAATGCTAGATTAGGTGATTTCTAAGGTTTTGCCAGTCCAGAGAGTCCCTAGTTCTGTGCGGCCAATGTCCTGTGCACCTCCTGTTTTTCCACTTGCCCCATCCTCTGGAATGATTGACTTCCAGCTCTGTTCTCAGGTGGTTTTCCTTCTCATAGGGAAAAGCACATGAATACCTATGAAGTCACTTAAAGATCTATTCAGGCTCATGAAACCCCCTATCAGATTAAATGGAAAACCTAGCACCCCCCCCAACAGGCACACACACACACACACACACATTGTGCTCTGAGCATAGACCCGGGACCAGCCTGAAGGGATTGCAAAACATGCTCTTGCGTGCATTTGGGAAAACAAAGAAAATCCTACCCTTTTCTGCTCCAGACAGTCTGAGACGCTTTTTCACCCTTGGGCTTTTGCCCAGTTCTCTCATCTGCCTCAATCCTGGTACTAAATTGGTTCAAGGTTTGGAGAAAAGCTTCAGAGGAAAAGATGTTTAGAGTTCTTAAATGCTGAAGTCACCCTGTGGACCGGAGTATAGACCCTCTATGGCCACCAGAGGGCGATGACAACAGCATCTGTACAGAAAGTTGCTCCCAAGAATAACAGCAGTAAATTGCATCTAATGTGTTTAATGAGTGATGGTGTGTGTGTGTGTGTGTGTGTGTGTGTAAAGTTGGGCGCTTAGCGCTAAGACTTAGAAATTTTGCTAAATACAATAAAATAAAATCTGCACTTCTACTATATATTCACAGGATGTGGCCAGGTAGTTGAACATTTCCTTGAAGGAAAATGAGGTAGAAGAAATCAGAATAGCATTTATGTGAAAGAAAAGGAAAGAGTTCTCATTGGCATAGCTGCCATCATGGTGTGTGTGATTTTGTGTGTGTGTGTGTGCGTGTGTGTGTGTGTGTGTGAGAGAGAGAGAGAGAGAGAGAGAGAGAGAGAATGTATGCATGTGCAGGGCTCATTCAAATTTTTCCAGTGTGAGCAGACCTCAAGGAAGTCTGGCCAATACTTCCTCCAGTTCCTGCCCTCTCCCTCCAAACAAACAAACAAAATCATTCCTACAAGTATTTATGGAGCCTTTTAACACACGTGCTCCTCCCCACTGGCATCTGGAGAAGCTCAGACCTGCCCAATTTAGAGTGGGCCCTGGAAGAACTAAGGTGCTAGGGGCAGAAGGGATGCCTCACATGCAAATGACCGTTTTGCAAAAACACCTGAAACACTTTCTGTTCTTTGATGCTCCAAACAACCCAAGGGGGTGGGCCCAGACAGGGCCGTGGCCCCACTGCTTTGAGGAAAACAAGGCTCTGAGGTGACATGATTGGCTCAGTCACTCAGTCAGGAAGCTCAAGTACTATGAAGACAGTCTAGGGCTCCAAGCGCCTGCCATCACTATTTCTAGCTGCACAGCGGGCATTGGGTCTGGACAAAGCAGGACAGGCCTCTGGGTAGGGTTTACCAGAGTGACCTAAACGATGTGGACAACCATTTTCTGTAACCTACATGACTGTAGAAAGCATTGGTGTCAATACAGTAGGTCCTCCAGGAAGAAGTTGTTCTTTACAAGATGAGAATCTTTGAGGACCTTTGTAGTTGAGGTAGGGACACAGCTCCCATGGGCTGTGATGGAAAACGGGGGTGAATGAGAGTGCCGCGGGTGGGGGTCACTAGCTGTGTGACCTTAACCAAAGCATTTCACTTCTCAGAGCTTTGCTTTTTCATCTGTAAAACGGGGGTACTTTAACACTTCCTTGCAGGACAGTTTTGGGACAGATGGGAAGACTATGAACAGAGTGTCTGGCTCGGTGCCAGAATACAGAAAAGTGCTTGGCTCCTAACAGTGAGTGACTCTCAATTCTGGGGCCCTGCCGACCAAGCCCCTTTCCTTCTCGCCTTCCTTCCCTCTCCACCCTCTGCAGCCTCTTCCCTCCCGGCTCTTGGTTGTTCCAGCAAAGTTCCCAACTTAGTGGAAATGACGCGCGGCGCAGCCAATGGGAGGCGGAGCTGGCGTTTTTGGGGGGGGGGGCAGGAGGGGTGGGCCCCGCGTCTCCGGTGTCTGCTCAGCTCAGTGAATGGAGAGAGCCAGCCAGGCTAGCTCGTCCAGCCGCCCCGTGCCCCGGCCGCCTTCGCCGCGCTCCCGAGCCCAGCCCCAAGCCAGACCTGCCCCGGCGCTGCGCCCCATTGCGCTCGCCCCAGGTCCCCCGAGCCAGGCCGCGCCCCGGGCCGCGGGCCAGCGGGACCAGGAGGCGCTCGGCACCTGGGCACTCCGAGCGATGCGTAGCGGGGCAACGTCGGCCCCGCCGATGGAGCTGCTGCTGCCGCCGACGCCCGGCGCGCCCCGCTCCGCCCGCACCCTGTGCGCCTGAACGCAGAGCTCGCTCCTCCTCCGCGCGAACTCCGCCGCCCGCTCCCCAGGCCGCCAGAGCTCTCGGCGCGCCTCCCAGGGCTCCAGGCGCCTTGTCCCGCCGAGGCAGCCTTCTCAGGACCATGGCCCCCGGGCGGACAGGGGTCGGCGCCTCCGTGCGCGCCCGCCTGGCGCTGGCCTTGGCGCTGGCGAGCGCCTTGAGCGGGCCCCCAGCCGCCGCCTGCCCCACCAAGTGTACCTGCTCCGCCGCCAGCGTGGACTGCCACGGTCTGGGCCTCCGGGTGGTTCCCCGGGGCATTCCCCGCAACGCCGAGCGCCTGTGAGTACCCTCGCCCCACCGCGCCCCACCCGGGCCACACACCTGGGTCCCGCAGAAGGGCCCCCAGGCGCTAGATCCTTGCTTTCCCCTTGCTACGCTGGATGTAGTCTCTGCTCTCGCCTCTCCTGGATAGGATCTTCACTCTCTGAGTTGGGGTCTGTGGCTTTGGGCTGGTTTGGGGAGAGAGGTCCCCAAGCCCCCTGTTACAGGCAAACAGCAGTGTCTCTCCGGGGGGAGGAGGGAGGGCCCAAGATGCAGGGCCCGCTGACAGCTTCCAAGCACAACGCTAGGAGGAGGCGAGGGAAGGAGAGAACACTGCAGCCAGAGAGGTCTTAGGGCGAGGATAAGGGGTCCAAGCTCCTTAAAGAGGGGGCAAAGGAGGATGCTGAAGGGTGATGGGGCATTAGGGCACGGAAACTTGAGAGAAAGTCTGAGAATCTGGCCAGCCTGGAGATCAGAATGGGCCAGCGGATCCCTGGCTGCCCTTGCGAGGAAAGTTGAGAGGGTGTGTGAAGGTCCAACTTCTGAGGAACAGAATGAATTCAGAGTGGATGCTTGCAAAACCCGCCCTGCCTGGAGCGCAGCCTCGGAGATGCCAAGTTGCAGCCCGGGTGAATTTTTAATGGCTCGGTTATAACTGCTTCCCCAAACGGGCCTGAGAATGGAAATGCTGACAGCCCTTTAAATGCGACCAAGCGCTGTAATCTTACAAACCGCACTCAGCCTCGGATTCTGGGCTTGGCAGCAAGAGGAGAGATGCTTGGAGAGTGGGGTAGATTGACCCTCGTTTTAACCCCAATTGTGCAACCAAATATTTACTTTTCATATGTCAACGATTTGGAAACATTTATCATTTTGATCTTCGAACCAAATTCAAAACTTGGACTCCGGGGTGGGCTCTTCTCAGCCCACAGTTGGGGAGTGAAGAAGGAGGGGAGAGATGGTGGAGGGGGGTTGGAACACTCCTGGGAACACAGCCCAGAAGTGGGTGAGGGTTTGCTCTAGTGAGAGACTTCTCCGTGTCTTGCTCTCCCTCTGTCCCCATCCCCACATGTCTTCGGAGTAGGTGTGTGGGTCTTCCATTCTGCCTTCGTGACCTTAGGCACCAAGAGAGTGGCATGAGACTAGGATGAATTGTCCTAGAGTGTGTTATTCCTGTTAATCACCTCCTGTCACCCACTTCTCTTCTGCTTACTCTTTATGTGTCCCTGGGCGGAGACTCAGTACAACTGCCTTCTTTCTTCTTGGAGCTTTCCTTTAGCTGAGAACTTTTTTTTTTTCAAATGCACTAATTATTTTGTGTGGTTGAACCATGCAGTTTTAGAGGTTTAGAGATGAATCTTCACTAATGCATGTAGAAAACAAGGCTGAGAAATGTGAAATGACTTGCCCAAGGTCATACAGCAAATTGATGGCAACAAAGGGTCTGTAATCCAGGTTTCCACAACTTAATTCAGATATTATACTGAAAAACTTGTTTTAGTGGTATTTGGGGTACATATACCTTGTAAACTATATTCCTCTCCCTTCTCATACCAGGGCCAATCACATCAGTTAGTGAAATAATAACGATAGCTATGGCTTAATGAGTGCTCTCTGTGCCTCCATTGTTTGCGTGTATTATCTTATGAATCACTACAATGGTATTAGTTACACAGGTAATGATTATTATTCTGCTTTACAGTTAAACCATTCTGTCATTTGTTCAAGGTTATGTAGCTAGTTGAGTGTTTGAATTTAGCATGTCTGGCTGGCAAGTCCATACCCCCTACATTCGACTGTACATCCCATGGAACAAGGGTTAGTCTGGGCCAAGATCTATAAATAGATGGTCCTGGGAGGGTTCTGGCTGGACTTGTGTCTTAGAAGAGGCTGCTGTTCTGCTCCTCCTGGTATGCCCTGCAAACATTCAGCTCACTTGGACATTAGTTCTCCTATTTGGAGCCTTGAGACTACTTCTCCCCCATCTCAAAATCATATTGCATGTTTGGGAAACCAAAGAGAGTGGGTGCCTCTTCTCCTGGCAGATAGCAAGTGTTCAAAAGCTGCAGGCACAGCATTGATGCCAGTGTGCCATCCAACCACCTCCCCCAGGAGGCAGCTCAGGGCCGCCCATGTGCTCTCCAGCTAAAGAAACTAGGTGGAGACTGGACTCCTGGGCATTCCAATGAGCCCCTTATAGTCATGGTCACTGGCAGGCATTGGTGCAGGAGGAAGTGCTTTGAAATATCTGTGATTCGTCTGCCCTGGTTCTGGTCACTTATGCCTCTTGGGCTAGAGTGTATGGGGGTGGTGTGGCTGCCAAGCCTGGTTCCTCATTCTCGTCTCCTTCCTTCCTGGAAGAAGGGGGCAGGCTTTGGAAGCACACTGGGTCAGGATTACTGTGAAAGCTAGGAGCAGCCCACCAATTCACCCTCTCTCAGTTGACTCAGATGTAACATCAATTTTGCACATTCTTGGGGGAATAGTTGACATTTCTAAGCTATGCTAAGAGTTTCTTTAAGGAGGAATTTCTCGTTTATTTTTCCCTTCATTCATGCAACAAACATTATTTGAGCCTCTACTCCATTCCAGTAACTGTATATAAAATCATTACATATACTGAAGAAAACCATCAATTCAACTGAAAGAATATAAGCAAAGGGTGGAAGAAGGAAACTTCCTTTAGTGAGCCTTCTAAACTTCCCAAGACTCATTTTTTTTTCTTCTTTTTTTTTGAGAGGGCATCTCTCATATTTATTGATCAAATGGTTGTTAACAACAATAAAATTCTGTATAGGGGAGTCAATGCTCAATGCACAATCATTAATCCACCCCAAGCCTAATTCTCATCATCTCCAATCTTCTGAAGCATAACGAACAAGTTCTTACATGGAGAACAAATTCTTACAGAGTGAATAAATTCTTACATGGTGAACAGTACAAGGGCAGTCATCACAGAAACTTTCGGTTTTGATCATGCAATATGACCTATAAACCATCAGGTCAAATATGAATATTCATTTGATTTTTGTACTTGATTTATATGTTGATCCCACATTTCTCCTATTATTATTATTATTTTTATTTTTAATAAAATGCTGAAGTGGTAGGTAGATGCAAGATAAAGGTAGAAAACATAGTTTAGTGCTGTAAGAAGGCAAATGTAGATGATCAGATGATCAGGTGTGTGCCTATGGACTAAGTATTAATCCAGGCTAGACAAGGGCAGCAAGACATCNTAAGCCTCACCACTGTTGATCCCCAATTTCTCATCTGATGGCCCCCCTGCAACTGTGCCTGTCTTAGGTTGTTCCTCCCTTGAGGAATCTTACCCGCCAAGGGTCATTTTTTCATGAGGTAAAAGTTTTGTCAGTAATGCTGTCACATGCTCAGAATCTTCCTGAAATCCAGTTTTTCTGATCTCAAATGTTTATGTTGTGTTTTATAACAAAGATGAAGCTTTTGCTACCTTCTCATTCCTGTTACTTTATCTGCCAAAGAGGCTTTTCTGCAGGGGTGTGTGCATGTGTGGTTATAGTTGGTTCTCTGAATGTTTTTGATTTCTGAGGCATTGTCAGCTTGTGGTACGCCATTGAGGAAAACCTGTGTGCAACTAATGTCACCGTTTGGCCTTTGCTTCAGGTCTGAAATGGGACTTATTCAGTTGTTCATAATTAAGCTGGTATCAGAGTTAGGGGGTCTGTGTTTCAGCTTCTTTTCCATAATATCAGCACATAACACAGAAGGAGAAACTGTCATTTATAAACTGACAATTTTTTTCCCTCAGTGAGGAGGTGGCACCCACAAAAAGCTAACTGAAGGCAGAAGAGAATTCAGTGTAATGTGTTATCCACACAGCAAAGACAGAGGACAAGAGGCGAGGAAGTGAATGGTGGTGCCTGAAACAAAACATTTACCATGGAGTGCAGAGTAAACAGATGTTGCATTTACCCTTCTGAGTACAAAAGGAGCCCACAGATGTAATTCTTCTCCAACCACAATCTCAGCCTGGAAAAAGAGGAGATGGATGGAAGTGAACGCTCATGTGGGGCCCCTCCTCCCCATCCTGCCTAAAGGCAGACAGAGGCCCACTTCTCACCCGCGGCGAGGTGATGGCCTGAACAGGGGAGTGGGGCAAGAGTGGACATCTTTGGTTTTTCACTTGGCTCCAGAACAAGCTGGAGACTGCTGTATTTAAATAAACATTTCCTGTTTGTGAAGGAAAATGAGTGAATGGCTGAAACGTGAGAATGTGGTAACTTAATTTTCTCCATCACTCCAGATGACGGCAGGCTTCGCTGGTGGTTGGGTCCAATAAAAACCGACACCGTGTCATAGGCTTTCCCTCACTTGACCACAGAGGTCCTGAGGTCAAGTGGGAGACTTTCCAAGATGCTCAACAGCCAAGCTCTACATCCTGGTACTCCCAACCCCCAGGGCCAGCTCAAAGGACTGGGGTCAAGCCGGCGAATCACGGGGCCTCTCTGAGACAGTCGTGGCAGTGCGACATTTCAGGGAAGCACAGTGCTGTCCTGGCGAGTCTATTGGGCTGGTCATGAGCAGCTGAACCTACTTGCGTCCAGTGTGTTGTGCAACTCTGAACAGATGATTTTACCTCTCTGGACCTCATTTTTTTTCTTTTTTTGAAAGTAGAATTCTAGTGTAGTTTTAATAGTTTTCCATGTATGGTCCTCTTCTCCAGTACATGCTGGCTAAATGAATGATGAGTCTCAAAAATGCAAATCTTTCTTTAGTTCTTAGAAGTGAAAGATGGGCAATTATAGTTTTGCATTTTTAATGTATGGCTAAGGGCAACTTACTAGTAACCTATAACATGATTTATTAAGGGTTTCTAACATTTGGCTTTTATAAACTAAAATTATGGCCTTACTAGAGTTGCCAAGGACTCCAAATGAGTGATCCACTCTGGAGTCTGGTTGCTAGGCATTGCTTAGCCTAGCAACCAGAAAAACTCCTACTGTGCACATGCCATGAAAAGAGCTAGAAATCCTAAACAC